TCTTCAGAAACGTTTGAAATTCAGGGTGCTACGCAATACTGTTGATAATGTTCATCAGAAGAGTTTAGAAAGCTAAAATATCTTTTATAAATGTTAAAACAAAAAAAATAACCCCTTACTGTGTTACACTGCCGTAACAAGGTAGGGAGAAATACACAGTATTTCACGGTTCACTAGCCGTCTTTACTAATGCACACTACTTCAACACGAATTGATAAGAGTTTCTGAAGAAGAAGATGGTGTTTAACAATCAAATGCCTGGTCAGTTTGTCTGCACTGACATCCAAAGAAACAAAGGAGGAGTGTCAAAACTATGATGGAAAAGTAATTCCCATCTTGGTGTAACTGAACAAGTCACTAGATAAGTCTGATCACTGTGGTAGTTCAAATATCACACATTTGTATGTTGTTACATGTTTACATTGAAACTGTGATCTGACTTCTTTCTGGTTTGTGTTTGTTTTACACTTTTGTCACACTGTTCCCTGATTAGTTTTGCCAATCCTTGCCTTCCAAGTTAAAACCATGTTGTAACCAGATTTATTTTGTCGGCATCATGTGACCAACTCATGCAAAATGTGCCATCAAAAGATTCCCAATAAAATAAATCTGAGAACCAAACAGGTCACTTCTCTGTGTCATTATTGTTACACCAAGCAACAAACAGCTGTTGACATATACTACTGGTGCAGCAACAGAAGTCTTCAGTGAAAACATGAACACATTTTCTTCTCTAACCTAATAAGTCCTAGGACAGGGAAAATATGAATACTACTAGTAAAATGAACCTCATTCAAATCAACAGAGTTTGCAGTTCTCCACAGTCAGCTACCTAAAAGAAACTATACACATTCTTTTACTCTCCACATCCTTATATCCTTAATTCCAAAGCTGTGAATTGCATGGCTTTGTGCTTATTTTTAAATGTACAGTGGAACCCCGAGATACGAGGATAATCCGTTCCAGGACCGAGCTCGTAACTCAAAGTGCTGGTATCACGAGAAATAACAGGAAAAAAATTCATCCGTTCCGGCTTTTTAAAAAACCTCCCTTATTATTGCTAATAACAATTGAAAAACATGTTTCTAAATGCTATCGAGACATACACACACACACAAGTATAAGGATTCCTGTGATATAAAATAAAATGTGGTTTTAATTATGAGTTCTTACCTTCGAGACTGACGACACAGTAGTGGTTAATGGTGGCATGTGCGGAGGAGGGGCAGGGAGGGATGAAGAGAGGGAGGAGAGTTGACCCATAAGTAGACACTTGATTCCGTAGCGTACCTTACACGTACTTTACATAACTTAGAATTAACTTAAGTTTTTTCTTTACTTTTCTATTTAATTTTTTATTTTGTGCTTTTTTCAATTTGTGTTCTTTCTTTAGCGAGAACCACACTCATATTCATCGACAATTTCATGCTTTATTTCCATGGTTATCATGTGTTTCTTCTTCTCACTACTATCCTTTCCACTCACTTTCTTAGGACTCATCACTATTATGAAGAAAAATGCACTAAATATTGAGAAAATCACGTAGATAATGCAAACATAATACGGAAGACTTGCGAGAGATGTGTACGGAAGTCAACAAACACATGAAGTGAATGAGTGAGGCAGCATGGGCTGCTCCGAGTGCCGGCCACCTGGTGTCGGCGTCTGTAAGCGTGCTTGTATCTCAAATCATTACTCGAACCTCGAAGCAAAAATTTTCCCGGAGGCTTGCTCGTATCTCGAACTACTCGTATGTCAAGACGTTCATATCTCGAGGTTCCACTGTACATTAAACCTGTCAGGTTCACTGTAAATCTCTTGTTCTCTGCCTTGCAGCTCAGGGGACTGGTATGGCCCTTACTTAGTTATCATTAAAGAAAGCACATACCAACTGTTGAGGCTAGTGACATTCATTTTTCCACCAAACCAGTTGGACTACTATATACATAACAATGGAACTAAGTCATGTTTACTTCCAGAGGAAGACTTGATCCTGCTGCTGGTACTAACAGCATATACAGAAAGACTAAGAGCAGAACATAATACATTTAAATATTTGTTTAGTGAGAATGATCTTTTTTCTTTTCTAGATTTTAAAAAAAAAATTGGTTAAAAGTCTCAATTACTTTGATAACCCATCAACTTTAGTTTTTGTGTACTAGACTTTACTATGAGACACCTTTGTATGGTTTAGGCCATAATTGCACAATATAAAACATTATTTCACCTGAACATACAGTAGTAGTACATATATATATAGGATTGTGTTTAAGGCATTAAAACCACTGTGACGATTATATGCTGATGACATAACTACTTCTACCATAAATTGCCATCTTTTTGTTTTATCCTCAGGCAAAATACAAAAAAAACAAAAACACAAATACAAAGCACAAAGCACAACTCATAGACAAATGCTAGAAAAAAGAAAGTTATCCTGAGTGATAACGTTCTTATCTGCTGTACACTATTGTAACAATCATTAACAGTGTATGTCTTTTACAACACGACCGAACACTCCACTCCTTGAAACAGCATAGTTCAAACTTTCTTTCACATTCTACGCACTGTAATTTAAAAGGATGGTATATTTTATAATAACTATGAGTAAACATCATTGACAGATGACAGGCAGAGTCTTAAACTGAGGTATTACTATGCAGTTGTTCAATCTACATGTAATTTCAGAGTGGGCTTACTAGTTCGCAATTATATATTGATGGCCTAATGGCATTTGTAGCTTGTGGCATATCACACTTCATTTACAACTCTCCCTTCTTCCTGGGCCTGTCTGGCTGCAGGGTGTGTCTTCACTTATCTGCTGACAATCCCTCCTTACCTGTTCTACTGGCTACTCCTGTCATTCAAACCCCTGGGGGCGTGCAGGCGAGGCTGGACAGCAGTAGTGAGAGTACAGGTTGAAGGGGCTGAGAAGGTCCCTCCCCCTGACTCGGCTCGAGCATAAAAGCAGGCAGGACTCTGGAGTTAGACACTCAGAGGGAATCAGCTCTCCTTTTGAAGTTGCTCATCTTCTGCTCTCCTCTACTCAAGAGTCAGCAACCCACCTCAGCCAAAATGAATGCAATGAAGTCATACTCCGTATCTGGCTACAGCTCCTCCAGCAGGAGGTCAACGGCTCCAGTCTCCAGCTACAGCGTCAGAAGAACCAGCTATGGTGTTGGATCTGGAATGGGTGGCTCAGGAGGTGGTTACAGCTACAGCATCGGTGGGGGGTCTGGTATGGGTGGGGGGATGGGGGGGGGGGTTGGGGGTGG